GTCCAAAATGATTTAATAATTGCAGAAAAGGTCATTTAAGAACTTTCTTACTTAAATGCCAAAGTTTTGCTCAAGAAGATGATTCAATGCTTTGAAATTAAATTACTCATATTTTTTTATTTAACTAATCAGAATTAAACTTTATTTTAATTTTTTATGAATTCAGAATTAGAGTTTATGTCTATTACAGCAACTGTTTGAATATCTTGCTTCCTCACGACGTTGATTCATTTCCATAGTCAAACGACGAATCTCCGCTTCTGTTTTCAGAGTATCTTCTGAAATCTAATAAAAAGAATTAGAACAAAACAATTCAACTTGTAATTGTATGAATTCTTACATATTCTTGTAATTTTCCAAAGAAGTTTTTAATGCGAACGTCATCGTTTATGCCAGATGAAAATGCAGGCACTACTGATTCCATTGGCTTTAAAATAATTTTAGATGGCACCGAATACTTGTCAGTTTGCATCATTCTTGTCAATTCACCTTCATCCCTCTGAATGAGAAATAATTACATAATTGAAGTGTGTAGACAACCGTCACCAAACTCCTACAATTGCTACCTCCTTTAGATTTCATCCTTTGTTCGCTCAATCCTTCTTTTTGACACGCTTTCAATCTAAGGAAAAAGAGATATTAGCAAGATAATTTTAAGAAGATCATATCAAATGACAAATATTTAGATGGAAATACAGGTTTTAGAATGTATTAGGAATATATTAAACACATATATGAAACACATGTAGCGATTGTTGCATAACCGTAAGGAAACACTTATGCAACAACATAGAAGAACATGAAGAATATGAAAAACAATTAAGAAAAGGGATTTGATAAATATCAAATCCAAGAAAGTAATAATTAATGAAATGACAAAAGGATTTTATAAATATCAAATCCAAGAAAATTAATAAATGCTCTAAAAGAAAATTCTAAAGAGCTATTATGGTATATTGCTTCACATTTTTAGAATTAGTATAAAAGACGCGACCTGACTTAGGAGCGTCGAGTAATTTTTAAACATCCAAACAGTAACAGTGAAATAAATATAATAAAAGTGGAGAGTCCACAAAAAGTGATTGTGTTTTAATAGTAGTTTGAATTTGTGAGATTTACAGTGAAGCATCGAAGAGGTAGCTGACTACATCGCGACCCTGAAGATTTCAGCTACGCAATATTATGAATATCAACACAATGGCGCCCAAATTTAGCTTTTATCATCAAAAATCAACTGAACAGTGTAAAACAGTGAAAATCACAAAAAGGAAAAACAAAGTGAACAGTCAGAAAGAAAAACTTAATAATAAAAAAAAAAATAAAGAGAA